GGAAGTTGTCATGCCCTTATTGCATGGAGAACACTAAGGCTTTTCAACTTCAATATGGGAGGAAAACATCATTTTTTGATTGTCATCGTCAATGTTTACCTCCTAAACATCCATTTCGTAGAGATAAGAATTTTTATCTCAATAGAGTTGAAAAAAGCCATCCCCCCCCAAGCCTAGATGGTACTTTGATGGAAGAAATGGTTAATCAGCTCCCTGGCATAGTCTTTGGCCAGCCACTTCGTAAACATTCAATTGCAGGATTTGGTGTTTTTCATAATTGGGTGAAACGTAGTATATTTTGGGAATTGCCATACTGGAAGGATTTATTGATTCATCATAACCTTGATGTCATGCATTGTGAGAAGAATTTTTTAGATAACATTAAAAATACTGTCATGGATGAAAAGGGTTGTACGAAGGATAACACCAATGCTAGATTGGATTTACAACTATATTGCAATAGATCTGAATTAGAATTGATACCTCAAGATGATGGAACAGCTATAAAACCCAATGCTTCGTATGTTCTTACTCGAGAGCAACGAGCTCTTATCTGTCAGTGGCTGAAGGAATTGAGATTCCCAGATGGATATGCATCCAACATAGCACGATGTGTTAACATGCAGGAACTTCGATTGTTTGGGATGAAAAGTCATGATTGTCATGTATTCATGCAGTGTCTCTTGCCAATTGCTTTCCGTGATTTCCTCATAGATGAAGTTTGGGGTCCCTTAACTAAGATGAGTAACTTTTTTAGAGCTTTAACTGCTTCGATTATTCAAGTCAGTAACATGGAGATGTCGGAGGAAAAAATTGTTGAGACCATTTGCAAGTTAGAGAAAGTATTCCCGCCAGCATTCTTTGACTCGATGGAGCATTTGGCTATCCATCTATCATATGAGGCAAAAATTGGACTTGTCCAATTTCGTTGGATGTATCCTTTTGAAAGGTATATTTCTTCTAGTATATTTCTTCTAATATATCTTTACATCACAATAACATTCATGAGCATATTTAATAATTTAATGTTATTAATTAATTTTCTTATTTGTAGAAAAATGCATGACCTTAAGAAAACAGTGTTGAACAAAAATCGTGTTGAAGCTTCAATTTGCGAGTCTAATATTCTTTCAGAAATTTCCTTCTTTTGCTCGCATTATTTTGGATCTAACATAGAGACAAGATTGAATCGTCAACCAAGAAACATTGTTGGCGTGAATGATGGTATTGATAATTGTTTGTCTGTCTTTAAACATCGAGGTTAACCACTAGGTGGAGAAATGCATATGCGTGTATTGTCACCCAAAGAATTAAAGGCAGCAGAACTTTATGTTTTGCTTAATTGTGAAGAAGTTAATCCATGGATTGCGTTTGTTCTCTAATTATAACTTTCATTTGTTTAAGTTACTAGTATGTTTAGATTGTTTACTCCAACTTCTTCATATAGGCTTTTTGATTATCAAGTATGTTCTGGTCTATCAGAGGATTAAATTCAAATCAAACGGTAACTTGAATTTATTCCTTGGTTTAAGACAACGGTAAGTAATTTATTTTAATAATAGTAAGATCTCAATTTTTATATATTTTAGGATTAAATATTAAATATTTTTATAACAAATCTAGGTGCGTAGTGGAAGATATGAGATTGATTCTCGCCTTTTGCCTTTAGTAACTGGCCTAGTCAATAAGATTAGGGTATACAATGGTTATTGGGTTAATGGATTTTGGTTTCATACTATCGCATATGGACAAAATAAAGACCATGAATAGTGGTGTTTGTGTAAAGGGAACCACTTTCAATGATGAGTCAGATTATTATGGGAGTTTGAAGGAAATAATTGAGCTTCAGTATTTTGACTCATATGTTCATCAATCAGTGATTTTGTTCAAGTGTGAGTGGTATGATATCAACAAAGGCATTGTGGTCCATCCGACATCTAGTATAGTTGACATAAATCCCCGTTTTAAATTACAAACAGATGAACCATTCATATTGGCCAGTCAAGCTCAACAAGTGTTTTATGCCTGTTACCCATCTCAAAATCCTTATAGAAAAGGGTGGTTTGCTGCATGTAAGATTAGAGCAAGAGCAATAATCGACACTTCATCGTTGAGTGACGGTGGAAATGTTTATTATCAAGACGATGATCCTCCTATGCCACCATTGGCGCAACGCTCGACCGTTTAAATGACCATGTTTCACTAGCATCTCAAAAGGGAGAAGAAGTGGTGATTAGTGAGGTCATGCAATTGCCATATGTGACAGAGGAAGAATGTGTGGGTGAGGATGATGATAAAGAGGAAGAGTTTGATGGAATGGAAACATCGGAAGAAGAAGTTCCAAATTACTTAACCGAGAGTGATAGTGACTAGATGTATCTTATTTGATTTTTTTTAATTAATTGAACAGGGGAGGAAGGACTACTTATATTTTCTTTATTATGTGTTTCCATTAATGACTTTTATATTTATTTTTATATCAATATGTCTGCTATAATTCTTTATATTGATATTTATAGTGAAGTTATATTTATATATTATTATATTTATATAAATAT